AAAGAACTGGGGGAATCCAAATGACCTGCCTCCCTTTGGTCGTCATTTTGCCTCTTATATATAAGAGTGTATTTTGTACAGTTACAAAAAGGAGGGAACAACTATAAAAATCATTCTTAATATAATTAATGCTCTAACAAATTGTATGAATTTTATTCCATATCAATATTATAATTTAAATTTTAACCGGTTATTGTTTTCCTGCCTCCTCTCAGACTAGAACTGAGCTTACAGTCTCTCGGCCGACTCTCAGGTACAATGACAATTCTTCTACTGGTTTTGGGCTTTGGAGCATTTATGGGGTTGCTAAGGAATCCTTCAAGTTTTTGAATGCCTCTTTGTATTCGGTTATCCATTCGAAAAGCTGCTTTTTTTCTTATTGCCCTAAAGAATGCTACAAACTTATCGCATGACTTCAAGATAAAATGATTGAGCCCAGCAATACGGTTGCTCAGTCTCTGAATTTCCTTGGTGCTCCAAGGGTGTGATATGTCTAGGATCACCTTTACTTTCTTGAGATTGGCTTTCAATCCATCGGGGGTCAACAAGAAATCGAGGAACTTGTCAGTCGACGCCCCAAAGGTGCATTTGATAGGGTTCAATCTCATATTGAATCTTTTGAGTGTTCTGAATATCTCCCTTATATCTTTGATGTGTTGTTCAACTGACTTATTATTAACTAAGATATCGTTGACATAAAAGCTCATCAGTCTTTCCTTTTTTTATTAAAAAAAATTATATCCATGAGGCGTTGTTACGTCGCCCCAACATTATTAAGCACGAAGGGCATTATATTAAAACAAAAAATTCCTTGTGCGATAATGAATGTCATTTTCTCTGCGTCAACTGCATACATCTTTAACTGGTGGTAGCCGGAGTAAGCATCAAGAAAACTCATTACTAAGTATTTGACCATTGCATACACCAAGGTGTCAATCTTCAGTAGGGGTAGGTGTCCATTAGGCAAGCCGCAATGAGGTTAATGAAGTCGACGCACATCCGCCACTTGTCGTTGGCTTTCTTGACCATGATAACATTTGAGAGGCGGGTTGGGTATTGGACTTCACGGATGTAGTCGACATCCAACAACTTTTGTACTTTTGTCGCTATCAGTTCGACCAAAGTTATGGTCATCGACCGGAACTTCTATTAGAACGGTCGAGAATAGGGGTTGATGTTCAGTCGGTGGCTACGTTGCATCAATCGAAATGTTGGGCATTTCCATTCAGTTCCAAGCAAACACTTCCTGGTGCTCCCAAAGCATCTGTAGCAGTTGGTTCCTGAATCCTGCATCAAAACATTCACTTAGTAGAACAGCTTTACCAGGTTCTTCGTCGGAGAATGCCACCTGAAGGATGACCTCACTGGTCTCATAACCCTCTTCCCTCCAAATCTGGATGTCGAATGGTTCATGATCAATGCTCTAAACTACTCGCGAATAACAGTTTATAGACTGCTCCAAGTTTCCCCAAACTGTAATTTCTTTCTAGTCACCAGAGAACTTTACGACTACATGGCAGATGGAAGTTACCTCCCGGTAGCTATCCAGGAGTGGTCGACTGAAAATAGCATTGTAGGTCAGTTTTGACTCTACCATGAGAAAATCTTCTGTATTGTTGTACTGCTTTCCTAGTTCTCCCCAAGAGATGGAGAGAGCGACGAGGCCTAGCTGTTCCTTCCTTTCCCAAACAAATCTAAACAATCGGTCGGACGGTGCTCAAAAAGAAGACATTCAGTCTTTGAAAATGATATTAATTGACTAAATTACCAACTAGATTGTCGCCAATTATTTCAATATTATCTTAAAGTTAATGAATAAGTGCTTGCATGCATAACAAATTTATTAGAAATAAATTAAAAATTTTAAGATATTGGATTTGAACCCTCATCAATGAAAACAAAAATTTGACGAAAAATAATCTTAGTGAGACTAAAAAAGTGAGCCCTAAAATTATAATCTTTAATTTCCTTAAAAAGAATTATTTTAATCACATTTTAGTAATTGGAAGATAAATAATAAAAAATTACTTAATATGATATAAAGTATAATTTTTTTAAATATTTTAAATAATTTATAGATAAAAGTTTTGAATTTTAATAAATTTTTAGTGTATCTTATATTAATATTTTTTTTAACAAGCTAGCTTACAAGCTAATGAGTAGAGTCAGGTTGGCTTGAGCTCAGCTTGGTAGCTCCACGAGTTCAGCACACGAGCCACTTATCAAGCCAAAGATAAACCAGCTTATGAGGAGAAATAAAAATGCATACAATTAATTTTTTAGAGAAAACAATACGAACAACCGGTATGATAATACCACCAAATTTTAATTATAAAAATATCGAGTAAAAATTGTGAAAAATTAGGAAAATAGAAGTAAGCAAGGGGCTAAATTGGGCTTTTTTTTATTAGGGTTTTCTTATGAGTGGGCAAAAACCTAAATATTAATATCTTCTTGAGGAGACATAAATTTTGAGGGTGGCATTTCCTTGTGGTTCTACCTCTCTATGGACTCTTAGGGCATCGCCCTTAATTTATACTAATAGCACTAGTCTCTCTAATATCATATCAAAAATAGCAGTATTAAAAGTGGAATGCATATTTTCATGCATATGTTTTAAACATCAGTGCTATACATATAAATATAATATTTTGGCCGTGAGATATGTAAACATATAAGAATTGTGTGCTACCTATGTAGATTTCCACATAGCACTTGTAAAATTGCTATTTACAAAACTGCAACCCTCTTTCATCCATTTTTTTTTAAATTCATTCAAATATTATAATTCATAATAAAAACCTAACTAACATTTTTCATTTTTATCAAATTCTCAATTGTGGCACACATAAATGCATTTGCATATAATATTTAGGCTCAATTCCACCATGCATATATATGTGTGTGTGTGTGTGTCGTAAGTCGTGACATGTTGGTTGGCAGGGTTCACTGTAAGTCCTCTTAGGTCACGGGTTCAATCCCCAGTGATACTATTCTATTACATATCATATCTATGTCTATATTTTTTAATTTTATCACATATTTACTTGTTACTATAGCTTTTGAGCTAAAATCACCATTTTTTTTACTAATGCTACTGAATATTAATCAGTGATAATTTTATTCTGAAAATGTGTACGAAAACATTGCTACAATCTTAGCTTTTTCATACAGCACCTTTTGATTATTGTGTAATTAAATGATTTAATTAAATACTTTTTGCCTTTTAACTTATTAATCCATAAAATCAAGCGCTACATTCTTATCGCTGCAGTGTTGGTCTTATTGGCTCCCATGCAAACTCTCTGCACCAAACAAGAAGCCATCTCTCCATATGACCTCAGAGCATCTTATATTTGTCTTTTCAAAGATTTTTTAGTTATTTTTTTTGGGACATACTTTTCATTTTTGATGAATTGTCTTAAGCGCGTTGTATACCTTGTGAGTGGGCTGCTTGCACCCATACACTAAAAGCTTTGCATCTTCCTTTTCATTAATGAAATTACCTTCGGATTTATATATATAAATGTAAAAAAGAGTGACTAAATGTTATTTTACTCGCTCTTTCATAAGAAAAAAATGTATGCAACTAACAATATTAGGATTTACAGTCCAAAAGTTGTTTAAAAAAATATTACAACTCAAAACTATTATACTTATTTTAACATTTATCCCATTCAATGATATTATTTCATTATATTTTCTTATAAGCATTCCAAAGTTATGAATAGGAGAGTTAATAATTAGAACCTGAAGGTCAAGAAATCCTGCAGGTACTGACTGGAGAAAACCTCCCATATTTACTGAAAGTAAATTGGAACAGTGCCCGCACCTCACTGTCATAATGGAGCACATATTGATTCCAGGCACACTCACCTGAAGAAGTAAAGTATTCAAAAGATATTATATTTGTATTCAGGAGCAAGCAAATAAGCACAGTGCTGCTTTACATCCAACTTTATTTATGTCTGACAAGCTAGATTTAAAAAAAAAAAGAAAATATTTCAATGCCAATGTATTATTAATAAAGAATGATGCAAATTGGTAGATGTTGAATCATTTTGAAACGTAGAGTCTCGTGTTATTTGTGAGTACATGCAACACGATAGTTGTCCGGATATCTTGAAGAAGGCGGATCAAAATTATAAACCCATTATTAATTGTTTTTTGTTTTATTCATATTCTGATCAGGAACAGCTACAGAGTGAAGTAATTAGGGTTGCATGAAGAAGCTGCAATTTGAATTTTCTACTGTTTCCAAGGTTTTTAATCAGCACCAGTGGTGTATTTAGTATACTACTTAATAAAATTACGGTTAATTTGAATGAATCGGCTCATAAATTAGTTAAATCGAATGAAACTGAAATAAAAAATCTGAAATCCAAAGAATAGAACGGACAGAACATTTGCTAAAACTGATTCAAACTGAACCGAAATATAATTTGGTTTAATTGGTCAAGTTTGGAGCAAACCAAAATTTAGCAATTGGCTTAAAATAATTAAAACTCGAAGCTTTATTTTAGAATTAAAAATTTCATTTCAATTTTTTATTCACTCATAAACATATCATATGCTCAATGTGGGCTTTGATTGAGATTCATGCAGTCCTAAAAGTGGAAATGGGAAGAATCATAAAGAATTGGATCACATCATTCTGAATGACATAAATGATCGTAGGTCTTTATGCTCCAGCACGAGACTCAACAGAAGGCAAACTAAACACAAGAGGAAATGGGAACACTCCTCAAGAATGAAATCAAACTACCACAAAAGATAGAAAATGATTCTCTATGAACTCAAAAGGCAAAGATATGAGTGGCTCGAACGAAGCTGAGATGTCCTCTATGCAAGACCTAATGACAAATAAATTTTATTTTATTATGAGTAATCAGGTTTCCCATGAGCACAAGCCTCCATCACCTCCATCATTAATTATATCCTGGACAAAGAGCCCAAGAAGAATCTCGACTAAGGTGTTTGTTCATTTTCATTTGGGGCTCTACAGGAGATTAAAAAAAAATTAGAAAGTTACAGGAATCAAAGGAGGATGGGCTCAAAGACATTGAAACAAATCAAAGAAGAAGACTAGACTACGTAGTGGGTATGACTTTCCCGATTAAAATCCCATGGTTCCATTATTCTAAATTGTTGATGCTCTTAGTTTGCTTAATCAATCAAATGAGCTCAGCTTAGTTCAATTTTTCAGTTTTCACCAAATAATGCACACATCTGCATCTAGTAAGCGAATTGGTAAGAATGTAAATGGTCAGCAAATGCAGCAGTGCTATTTTTTTCTTAGAGATGTGAATAGAACAAAAGAAAACATTAGTGCTGCTTGATGGGATGTGAGGTACAATTCAAACTATTCTTCAATCTGATTTGGCTCAAACTTGTTATAAAACTTTTTTAATTGACAAAAAAATCAACACCAAACAATCTCCTCATCTCTTTCATAATGGCTTTACAGCAGCATAGTTTCAATATTCAGAAATGTAAACTATAGAAGTTCAAGCATCAATAGAACAAATGAATAAATGATGGTGGATCATATGAGTTCCATGAAAAGTTCAAATTGTTTGAAAGAGTGATGCAAATAGCATACCACCATGCCGTATAGCTACTTCTCTTATACGTCTAACAAGACCAGTAATTGGATCACTAAAAACCTTCGACTCGAGGTTTCCTTCCAAGTAGAGGAGAGATCTATAACATAAAGATCAAGATGCAGGCGATTAGAACATATAGAAAAGTAAAATTTAAGATGATGGAACAAAGTGTATATAACCGTAAATACAAGCAAACATTATTAAAAACAAATACTTTCGTTAATAAAAAATGATGAATTGGTTAGCCATCTTTAAACCCAGCAACACAAAAGCATCCCGAACTTTTTTGCAAAATGCTAGTCAAGAATTCATAAAATTTGCACGCCTCATTTTAAAAGAAAAATACCAAAAGAAATGATTGCATATGGGCTGGATGTATTTACAAGTATATTAAAGGTGACATTATGAATGTTCATTCTTTTCGGGATTAGAAAAAATAGACTGAATTATTCAACAACACTTAACCCCTAGTTTTTCCAATTTTTCACTCAACAAATCCATTCTCATTAAGCACAAAGGAAATGTAATTTCAACAACAAATGGACATAGACACTTACATTTGATATTTAATTTAAAAGAGTTTAAATAGGTGAAATCAAAATAAAAAAGAATCATTTTTGTCAATTATAGTTAATCCAAAATAACATATTTTGTAACAAAATTGTTATTCTATTTTTATACAACAAAAAAATTTTTATATTCATCTCCAAATCATTTATTTTAGTTTTCTAGCAATTTATTGAAGCACTACCCAAAAAAACTATCCCTTTTGGCTTGATATTGTGATAATATATTATGGATCTCGTATGCAATCCAAGCTCCTAAAGGCCCGAAAAGTTGAGCGTCTTACAACCATAAAAATCTCAAATGATGCTCAAACTTAATAGCTACAAGGGATCACTAAAGCTCATTTATTACATAACAAAATGAATCTACTTATAACAAAATGCAACAACCACTAAATCCTCATAACCATATCAAATCATTAACTATCATTTACTTCTTATCTCATAAATGATTATTCAACTCAAGTAGCTCCTCTCAAATTTGAACCGTGCAATAAATAAAGTCAACTAGTTATCTTTGCTTTCATGACAACGAAAATAACCTTACAAACTTTAAAAACTTACATATATCTTAATAATCTAAAGCCTATTTCGCTAAAAATGAAATAAGATTCTTCAGAAGGTCCAATATATAGCCGACCTCAATCAAAATCTTAATCACATAATCATTTACCTTGAACTACATGATGTTGAAACTGTCTTAAATAATTGTTTTACATAAAAGCATAGCAACTGGCAAATGGCAAATGGCAAATGGCTTATAAGTGAAAAATAAATCTTCATAATGACATATATGACATTAGCATACAGAGTCTAAGAACCAATAATATCTAAATATTACTCTAATCGTCACTAGAATAACATCTCTTAAATTAATCCTAACCACTCTACAGACAATCAAACATACAAGCATATATTTTCCTCTTTATAATTGCAATTTGCAGAGAACTACTCTCTCAAAGTTTGACAATCTTTCTTGATGTGCCCATTTACTTTGTGCATTAAAAGAAAAATAAACTGTTCAACGATTCTAACTACAATGGAACTTATTTTTTTCCATGATAATGTAGATTCATCAAAAGGTCTCCACTAATAAAAAATTATGTAGCCTGCTTTTGATATCTTTACAAGCTCAAACCTAACAATCATAGTTTTAAAATAATTTAATTCTTAAAATCTTCTATACAACAACAAATACAACAACAATCCTTTATCCCACTAAGTGGGGTCGGCTACATGAATTTTTTTCCTCCATTGTGTCTTATTGAGAGTCAAATTTTCATTTAGTTCTAAAAAATCTTCTAGACAAACTATATTTATTTCAAACTATTTTGTTCCATGCCAATGCATAGTAGATAAGGTAAGAAATAAAATATGTAACAAAGCTTGATAGGCATCATTAATGATCACATTTACATCTCTCAAATTCTTAAAAATGAAAATAAACTTTTTTAATGTGTTATTTAAAGGGCATATCATTTTGTATGCAAATTAAAAAATGCTTTAAATAATTTTTTTTTGGGTATTTTTGTAATAATGTACAAAAACTCTGGCTTGAATCACAACCCGTATGCAATTATTTCCTCCAAAACCTCGATCAATAACTTATCCATAAAACATGGTTAAATTACTAGGGAGCTTTGCATCCATCCCAACCGCCACTTCATTCATAATCTAATGCATATTTAAATATCCAATGAGTGCTTTCATATGACCGGATTAGACTAAAATATCTCCAATTTTGGCTCACTGGAGCACAAAACTTGTCTAGCCATCAAACTTTTACACTCATACATTTCATCAATATTGTATGCCATTTTAATGTCATATCATTTGTTATAAAAAAAAAATTAATTTTTGTAAAAGATTGTATTATGAATGGATATTATTTATGTAAGAAAGTAATAATAGAGATAAAGCACCATGAGAAAACACCGAACTTTACATAAGTTAACCAAAGAAAATGTTTGCATTCACATGGAGATATAAAGCTAAGAAGATATGTATAATTCAATCAATATAATTATTTACATTAAGTGGCCAAATAATACGCCTAGCAAAATGCTTTCTAAAGCCAAGTACACTCAATCTCACCATAAATAGGACCACAAAAATATTTGTAATCGAGAAAAAGATAACAACATAATATTTTGTAGAATAACAACAACAACACAATAGATATTAAAGAAAGTAAGCACAAAAGGCCTAGAATACCAGCACTTGAATGATGATCAAACACAACCACCACACTTTCAAAACAAAACTGCGTTGAACGCTAGTGTTGTTGCTTGATCCATCATCAGCATGTTTGCATCATGTAAAAGCAGTCAACATAGTATTAAACTAAAGAGCAAGTAGCTGTCCATATTTTCCTCTTTGCTCTACTACTACTTCTTCTTTTTTCTCTTATTCTTCTTTATCCTACTAGCTATTTCTTCAACAGCAATTTACCGCTCAATAAATCGAGTTTCCACTCAATGAGACCATGCCCATTGTTGTGCACAGGAAAATGAGTTTGCATAATTTATGTATATCAGCTCCTTTATCCAAAATTGTATTTATAAGTGGTAGAAATGTAAAAATTAAAACTTAAGTTTGAGCTAATCCAAATAGTAAAATAAAATTAGCAAAATTTTGAAAATGTTCTTGTCAATGAACAAGAGATTATTTGTATTTATTCTGAAATTATCTATTTATTTTGGTAATATTATTAAAGAAAAATCATAACAATCATACAAGACAGATAAAAACATAGTTGGCCAAGTTGACGAACGAGAACCAAACTAAGATCAGAACTGAATAGAAAAAAAAATATAAATTGATGATCTAAGCTCATGAGACAGGAACATAAATATATTCTCATTCCCAGTAAAAATAAAAATATCTATGAATTTAAACCACATAAGCCTTTTTCAGTGGAAAAGTGTAGCAGAACCCTCGCAGCGTAAGAAACTTTCTCAGATAGGAAAAAAAAAAACGTGTATGTATTTAGCACACACGATTTTGCACCCAAAATCTCTTTGATGAAATGAAAAACGTTTTAATCCAAATAAACGGATAGCTCATTAAAGCTTGGCTCACCCGGGTTTTACATGGTTGAGAGCTATTCTTCCGAGCCGCTCCGGGTATATGCATACACGATGCCATTGAACAGCACAGCGCTCAGCGTATTGCATCGGTTCCTCGTCCTCGAGCGGCCGCCGGTTGTTCCTGATCCCGCCTGCAG